TAGCTTACTTTTCAGCCTAAACTCTAAAATCTGCTACAGCTGGTAAAACCAGCATCAAGAACTCCTGCATTCAGTCTATAGGCAGTTATACATATATTTGAATGCATTTACCAACATATGATATATTTCATGTGAACTGCTGCATGCTGCTTTCAAATCTTCTCCGATTCCCTGCTTTTTTCAATGTGTGTATACTCTTGGATTACAAAATTTCACAACCTTACCCCAATTTACCTAGTACATCGAGCAAACAAAAGCCTAGCAAGGACAGAAAGTAAGACTAAGCAACTAATAATTGCAAATGTTAGTTATATAGTTCTTACTCATATAGCTCATAGTTATATGAGTTCTTACTCATTCATTAACATAAGATTATCATAGCATGGATTCATGTTTTTTCCACAAAATTGTAACGATCCTGCTACCTGTTTGCAATCACTTAACATCCCAATGGCATGAACTCTAGCGTTGCTTTAATGCACGAGATAAAGTTGGGAACTATTTAATGAATTTACATTCTTGTCAAGCTATTATATTTTAATTAGCTGATAATGAATGTAAATCAACAGTTATGTAATGCAAACAATTGCTGAAAAAGGCTACAGAGTCTAAATTGTGTGGGGAAATCTAGATATCTGGCCAGCATAAATTAAAATAATAAAGGCTTCTTTTTTAATTGGAAAATTTCTGATGGTGAAAGAGACCTGCAAAGTTACATGACATCTACAGGCTGCAAGAAATTGATAGATCAAATCATATGTGAATGTCTGGGAGAACGTGGTCTACTGGCTAAGCAAAATGCTGAGCAGGAGCTGGTGCCCCCTTGTTCCACATGTTGCCCTTCAGTCTTGGCTCTTCCTGTAGGTGCTCCAAGGGAATGGCCTCGAGAACTCTCTCCCGACAGCTAACACCTTCTTATATTATTGCGTCTTGCAGAGAACCAGCTGTGAAAGCTGAGACTCACACTGTCATTAATCGTCTTTCCCAGTATCACATTCGGACCATGAGCCTCTCATTTACAGTACAGTTTTTCAAGAAACAGGATTAAAGCAAGCACGGGACACATAAAGTTTTTAAGCATATGATGGTTTCTATTTAAATTTTCAAGAATTGGAAAAACCTGGAATCAATGCCCGTATTTATGGATATTGCCCTTAAGAGTCCTTAGGGTGGTATGTGCTCATTGAAAGGCACATTTCCTCATCATCTCATGAGGATCTTGTGATTACACCGGAATAGCAAATTTCATTAAAATGAATTGGTAAAAAAGGTCAAAAAAACCCTAATAAATAGCAGGTTTGAGATTACACTTTAGAATCCTCTTATGGATACTGAAAATAGTTATTGCAGCGTTATTTGCTCAAAGAAGGTCTGAAATAGTAGCTCTCAGAGGAGTGAACAATTCAGTTCAGTTTCAACTGAATGTGAAAGTTTAAAACCCAGGTTTTGTGAGCTTAATCAGCTGCATTGCAGCAGAGGGCAACAGTAATAGGGTACAAGTCACACAAAAAGGCAACAGTATGGAAGGATGTTCTTTTGGATTACTGTTTCTCTGGCATGAAGATGTAAATAAAAAATAAAAAAGAAAAAAAAAAAAAAGAAAAAAGTTGCACACCTGAAGCTAAAGCCTGCTCATCTGCTCACCCTGCTGAGGACTGATGTCTTCCATGTTCTTGTTTGTTTCTTCTTCAGAGCAGGCACAGCCATCACGGTGAAAATTATCCATCTGTGGTGGCAACATCTAGTGCACAAAATTAACTGAATTAAGCCATGGTTCATTCTTTTCTATGTCTCACTTCATATCATCTCCCTGTCCAATATTCCTCATGGCTATGATGCCCTAACGTATTTGGCCAGCTGAATTTTTGGAACATATCTAGTCATGTATCTTTCTATCCTTATCACAATCAATTATACTTCATACCATTTTTCTAGGATAGCTTCCACTAAAATCTATCCTTCGATTATTGGTCTCATCTCCACATCACTTGTCTATTTACTAGTCAGATGTAACATTCTGCAGAGACTTTATTTTTGATGCCTTCTTCCTCCTTCCACGTTTAGGTGGTCACCAAATCCCAAACCTCTTCTCTGTGGTGGTCTTAGAGCTTTTTTTCCTAATCTGCCTTCATGGAATGCGAACCAGAGTAGAATTTCACCCTTCCACATCTGTTTTTTCAGCATGAAGTAGAAGCAGGTAGTTCTTGCTAGCTTCAGTTCAGCTTTCATAACGCTTCCTGTTTCTTTGCCTTCAGAACAGAATTTGTTTGCTAGCTTCTTCTTTTGTCTCCTTTTGTGCCATTCCTGATTTTTTATTGCTCTAGATAAACACATCTTTCTAAAGAATGTTCTCAGAGCGCCTGCCTTTCTTAGTGTAGTATCTGCCAGGGTTTTATTTAAAAATATTGTGTGCATATATGTTTTCAGGTCATGCTGGTGTTCTGTGCTGAAAACAAATGTTATTCATTTGCATCAGTTACACAGTGTTGTGCTCTGGGATTCTGCGTAATAAATAACAGTATTGCGATGAGTTCAGTAATGTTATGGAAGACCGAAGGAACATTTCTTTTCTAGATGATCTATTAAGTAACAGAAGATTTTTTTTCTCTTTTTATTTGCAAAAAGTATTTACAGTTAGGTTTTGATTCTTAAGGATTGGTAGATCTGAATCATCTGTAGATTAAATTTTACTCAGCGCGTTTTGTAACATGCTGGGAAGAACAGTGTTGGCTAATGTTTCCCTTTCCGCATTCAAGGCAGTGTATCTCGTAATCTTAAAGACCAGTGACTTCTGCTGCCTGATTGTAGAACTTTTTTGGGTTTTATGTAACATCCAATATTGATGCATGTGAATGATAAACATTTAGGGTGTTCCTAAAACTGATCACACATAACAATTTTTACTTCCAGGTAGAACTGTACACCTATAACGCAGTTTGCAAATTACAACATAATTCAAAATAATGCATTTCAAGAAATCATCACCATATTGCCTGAAAGATAAACATGATCGTTGTAATTCACCAACAACAGTTAAAACAACTAAGCAGTGTAGGCACTTAGATTGTGCTTTAAAAAATGAGCTGGAAATTTGTGAATGAGAAACTGATGTTTGGATCATGCATTTACATTTCCCAGGAACATTTAAAAGTACGCAAGGCTCCTAATGTACTTTGTTTCTGTTAAAGAAATTAATCTTTATATAGGAAGTAAACAAAAATGCTATTGAAGTATTTAGTATACAACCATAACTTGCCCTTAAAGAGATTTTTTCCGTATTTTGTTTAGAATAGTAAAATCTCTTTTTCTTGACAATGTTCTTTCATAACTTAAATTTTTCACGGTATTGGCTGTAGTCTAGTCTTTGCTTACACTAGAAGGAAATACACAGTTTTGACAAGGATTTTATTAATGCCTACTAACACAAACAGGGATTTATCATGCTGGAGTATTTCATGTCAGATTTAGGAATAAATCCTAGAAGTCTTGAAATCTCTGTTTTTATGTCAAAAACCTGTTTTTTTAATCCACCTTTTCTTTTAAGAAATTATGTAAGGTAGTTGATATCTTATAAAGTGTGGATTCATTTTATTTTAATACTTTATCCACCAAATGTCCTAGCTTCTCTAATGCTTCCCATTAACTTATGCTGAAGAAAGGAGGAAACTGAAGCTGGTGTACATGCCAGAAGGGAGGGTGGAAATGTTCTTCTGACACTTTTGCTTCAGGATGCATTTGAAACCCAGCTGAAATTGCTTGCCAGCGTGTTCTTGACAGTGAGAATTATCCTTTGATAGCAAAACTGTGGGATGTCGGTGACAGACTTAGAGACTTGCTCAGTATTTGCATGAAGAATGCAAAGAGGTTACCGCTGCAGGAGGCAGTCTGTTTTTAAAGACTGCAAAACACAGTGCCCCTCGCATCTCTCCGTATAGTTACTTAGAGATGATATTATAAACACTGGAGGAAATTCAGTGGTGATTCTTCCTTTCTTCTAAAAGGATATCATACCTTTGGTTGAAGCAGTGTAAACGTTACACTGTGGTTTCAGGTCTTTCAGGGCTATACAATTGATTTCTAGTTGAGAGTGTCTTTAAATTAAAGATGTGTTTTACTCATTTACCCATAGCTACAAAAACAAGTGTGAAAAGTTAACATGAGAGAGCAAAAAATAAATGCTAGGTATTAAGTGTCTGTCATGAATGCGCATGGTAGATTTACTAGGTTTGCTCAAAAGCTTTCAGGGCTTATGCTTAAAATAAAAA